TTGTAATTGAGTTCGTCATCCGAGTTCTTTAAATAAATTATTCATAATCTCGTCTTTCAAGTCTTCATACTTGATAGATTTTATTTAAGTCTAACGTGTAATTTTGACAAAGTTAAGAGCTAGGCGGATCCTAACGTCTTAACCGCAGTAAACTGCAGTTAGAAATTTTGAGTAGAGACTTGATAACGTGATCACCCTGAGTTGAAGAATTCCACGGTAACAGTATTTATTTTATATTATACATATAAGATTAAATCATTAAAAATAAAAATATTTTATATATATTTTTTTAATATTTATATATATAAAAATAAGTTATTAAATAATAGTGTAAATAATCTTTTATAATGCAAAATAATATTTAATTTATTTGTTATATGATTATAACAGTGACATTTAAGATCTTGTAATGAAGGTGAGGTGATGGTGAGCCAGGTAAGCTCATATTGTGTTACTAAGGAGGCTATATTTTGGTAGATTATTAACCAATTATGCAGAACATAAAAGGTATGAAAGCCTTGTTTTGTTAGTCGTTGTAATGTTATGAAAGATTATTATAAGACAGGAAATGAAAGTTTATAAGTTTATAGTAAATAGAAGTATTTATATATTTTTTATATATATACAGTCAACTTTTGATATAGCGAACTCTTGATATAACGAATTTTTTGAACAAATCTAATAAAAATACTCTTGTTATAGCGAATTGGCCAATCAAATCTCTTAAAATCTTCACTATAGCCTTATAGCGAAGTTGAGGTCTAGACATAGAGTTCGTTATAACAAGAGTTGACTGTATATATTTTAATTTGTATCATTTGTTATATACTATTAGAAAATAATTTCTTATTAATTATATTAATATAATAATTAAAGAATTTAAAAATTTAAAATTTAAAAAATTTATATTTTATATATATATTCATTTTACTGAATGCTGATCGATATTAAAATTTTATAACTAAATCAAAAAAATTTGTTAAATTTATAAAAATGTAAATTACTTTTAATACATTTTTTTATAAAATTTAAATAAATTTTTATTTATAATATCTAAAGTAAACCTTTTTATATCTTTAATTTTAAAATTACTATATTTCTTAAATTAAAAATCTATTAGAATAAAATTAATATCTTTTATTTTTTAAATAAAATCTTTAATTTCATTAAAAAGAAATTATTTTTAATTTTTTTATTTTAATTATTTAGTTTTGAAATTTGAAAAAAAATTTATCATAAATAAAGTTTTCTATTCTAATTCTATTACTTAATTTATTATTTGAATTATTTTTGTATTAAATTTTATATAATTATTCTATCAAATATTATAAAAAGCTATATATATGATTATAAAATTTTTTTTAATAAAAAAAAAAATCATTTAAATAAAATGTAATATTTTTAGAATTTATTTATTTAAATAAATTTGTAAATCAACTATTTATGTAAATTTAGGCAATTCGATTTGATATTTAAATATTTCAATTTGAAAATCAAAATCAAATTAATCTTGAATTTGTTCAGAACAAAATGATTTATTAACCTAACCCTCTAAAAACATTCTTACTAGCGGATCTTCTATTACGTTTTTGATGATTATAATTATTATTCTTATTATTATGAGAATCATTATCTTTTTTACTATTTAATTTAAATGTCATTGTCATTTCACCAATACTATCCCATTTTCTATTTGTTGATTTCATACCCTTTAATAAATATTGTCAAAAAATTAAATTAGAGCTTTTTTTTTTTATAAAAGAGAGAGAGAGAGAGAGAAATGAACCTACCTTTTTCTTTTGTAAATTCGGTGTCTTACGTATTGATTCATCTTTCATCTTTTCTCCCTTCTGTTTATTTATTTGCGTTATTAAATCTGTAAAAGAATAACCAGAATATTAAATTTGTATACTGTATTATACTTAATAGTTAATATCAATGTAATACCTTCATCACTGTCAATCTCTGATTCAAATGTTGATGCATCACTTTCTTCTTCAGATTCCATTTGTTCATCCTCATCCTCATCATCATATTTCTTCAAACTCCGTTTCTACAAAAAAAAAAAAAAAGAAAGGTCTTAAAAAAAAAAAAAAAAAAGTCAAATTCATTAAAAAAAAAAATACACAAATTACATACGGTAGGGTGTAATAATTTATATTCAGTAGTATTCTCATCAACTTCAAAATCAGGATTAGTAAATAATTCATTAAATCTATTATCTTTAAGTGGATTAATGGCATCATCATTAACTATAGCAGAAGCGGAATCTTCTCCTTGTCGTTTATCATCCTTTTTCTTTTCTGAAAACTTTAATAATCTATTTGCTAATTCTTTATTAACTTTAGGTAATTTCCTCTTTACTCTTATACGCGATCCTCTTTCTTTTTCTAATTTTTCTTTAATTATACGTTCCCGATAATCAGCATATGCAAATGGGTTTGCAATAAGTTTGGCCTATAATATAAAATTTAGATTATAAATCGTGCAATTCAAAGTTAAACGGTATATGAAAATGCAAACTAATCATAAATCTGTTACTTTTTCGTATAATTGTAAATCCATAAAAAATCCATGCATATATGGTTTTAATACATTTGTCCCAATCAAATGATCCATACCAAGACTACCAACGATAAATAAATTATTATTATTATTATTTTCGTTTTTTTCAAGATAAAATACATTAGAAATTCAATATTTGATGTGGATAAATGCAAATATTTGTTATATAGTTACCTTGTTAATTCCTTTCTAGTGACAAACTTATAATCTTCATAAATGTTTGGTTGAGGATTTTCTTCCATTTCTTCCTAAGCAAAAATTACACACACGCATATTTTTAATCTGAAGATTCGCTTTAAAAAGATTACTAAAAAAAAGCAAATGTAATTTACCGTTAAATTATCTAAGAAGGAACACCATCTTGGTGCAGGACCTAATGAAGGAATATAATAAGCACCGATTTGTATTCCTTCATTAGGAACAAAGATCAAACCAGAATCCGGCACAACACAAAAATCATTTATGTCCGTATTGGGTTCTATTGAAGTAAAATTAGCTCCCTACAAAATTAAAGTTTAAAAATAAATAAATAAATAAATAAGTAAATGAAAATTATAAACACATTCCGAGTTAGCATCTAGGAGAAATTTACATTATCTTTGTCCCAAATTTTCATAATTTTACAATCGGCACTAATAATTTTAGATTTTCCTCTATCTCCCATAACATCATCATACCACGATAGTTTTTTAATAGGATAACCATATTGATGATCTTTAACCAACCAAGGTTTTGAACTTCTCAAATCATATAATAAAATGTGACCAGTAGAAGTTCCAACCGCTAAAGAAAGTCCATCACTTCTATATTCCATAGCCGTAACTTGAAGTGAATTATTAAGACTCATTGAAGAAGAGGCTGAAAGAGGTAGTTGTGGAGCCAATAAACCAATTCTTGATCTTGATCTTGGATCCCATAATTCTATTGTACCATCTTCTGTACCAAACCCGAATAATTGATGTGCTGGATTTATTATTGTAACGTTTACTCCCATTGTTGAATCTGTTGAAAATGAATTCAAAAATCTTCCTTGACTTAAATTTAACCTATACACTTCATGCGACGATGCTCCTACGAGTAGATCACATGAGGGATAATGATATACTAAATCTCTTCCAAACTATATCAAAATCTTTTTTTAGTATTAACCAAATAGTTTGAATTGGATGGAAAGAAAAAAAATTATTTTTAATTTACTTTTGGAACTCTAATCTTATAATATATTCCACCTTGTGTATGAAACTCAATCGTTCTATCATTTTGTAATAACACGGACTTGGTCCAATCATCCGATAATATCTATGATAATTTCAAAAAATATGAATTATATTATAATTAATGGAGACGAGAATTTGATTTATATCTTTACCACAAAATTAACATTCTCTGAATCTGTATGTCGATCAAATTTCATTGACATATCTGAATATTCATAAACACGAATTTGCGGTTTATAAACACCTAAAAATTACGAGTTCAGAATATCTTTTTAAAAATAAAAAATAAAAAATAGAAATAATAATAATTACATACCTGTCGCCATTACGAAATGACCGTCTCTCGTTGTTTTTATTCGTAACGAAGCTTCAGGAAATTCAAAATCTTGAATCAATTCAACTCTAGAAGTCCATTCTATACAAAAAGATTGTATTAATTCCAAATTCCGAGTGAAGAATTAGAGTTGTTAACAGTTACCTGGATCGTTTTTTAATACTCTTTTTTTTCTTCGTTCTAGCCAATCTGGTATTGAACGAGATCCTGATCCAGAAACTGTGTATATTTTAACATTATTAGGGTTCGAAACTTTAAGAACCATTTTAAATAAAAAAAAAATGATATATATTTTCTGAAAAAAATAAATTTATTTTTATATTTTTCAAGATAATCTTATCAAAAAATTATAGGTGGTACAGACCAATGAATTTATAAAAACTTTTTTTTTTTACCAAATTTTTTTTTTTTTGTTGGCACCTATTCTTACAAAATGTCGAATAAAGTTAAAGACACTGATGAAATTATGATTGATGCTGGATATGTACCAGTATCAGGAGAACAAATTGAAGAAGAATCAACGGGAATAAAAAAGTTAACTGACGAGGAGGAGACCGTTAAACCAAAATTTCGTCCTGCTACTATTAATGAACTTAACGTAAGTACATTCGGGAATTAATCACTTCGTAATTTGAATTAATATATGGGTTGATTGCTAGGAAAATCAGGTTCTGGGAATTTTTTAGCGAAATTGAGATTTTTATTGCATTTTAGTTTTTGATGTTATTAGATTAAAATGTATTAAGCTCTTAATTTTAGTTAAAAATTTCTCAGAACCTGATTTTCCTAGAAACACTCCCATATTAATCCCTTAATAAAATTTTTAGAATGGTGCACCACAAGTTCGTAGAATACCTGTTCCGCCCAATAGGTTTACACCACTTAAAAAAGAATGGAAAAAGATTTATGAACCTTTGGTAAAACATTTAAATTTACAAGTTAAAATGAATGTAAGATCAAACCGTGTTGAGATAAAGGTAAAACGATTGTATATTTAAATTTTGTTTATAAAAAAAATTACAATTGAGTACTTATAATAGTTTTTTATAAACTTTATGTTAGACATCTAAATATACAGAAGATCCCGGATCACTTCAAAAGGCTGCAGATTTTATAAAGGCTTTTATGTTGGGATTTGATATTGATGTATGATTGGTAAAACTGAATTTAAAAAATTCTCTCGAGGTCTTCACTAAAATAAATTCGAAAACTTATGTAGGATGCAATAGCAATTTTACGTGTTGACGATCTTTTCATAGATTCATTTGACATAAAAGATGGTATTTTGAATCTAATAAAACTTTTCATCTATAGAAATTTTTAAATAAATAATTTTTTTTCTTTATTTCTTAGTAAAAAACTTGGGAGATGATCACTTGTCTCGTGCAATTGGTCGTATAGCAGGTAAAAATGGTAAAGTGAAATTTGCCATTGAAAATACTTCCAAAACAAGAATCGTATTGGCAGAAACGTGAGTATACTTATTAAATATTATGAATATTATGAATATTATTATTATTAAAATCATTCATTTAAATTTTTTTTTTTTAGATCTGTTCATATTTTAGGTTCATATCAAAATATTAAGATTGCGCGTGATTCAGTTGTATCATTAATATTAGGTAGTCCACCAGGGAAAGTACACGCAAATTTAAGAACAATTACTGCCAGAATGAAACAAAGATTCTAAAAGTACTCCTATTTATTTTAAAATTAGATGTCGTTTAGATAAAAAATTATTAAAATTTTTAATTGGGAGTTATTATTTATCATAGTGAATCTATTTAGAAAAAAATATATACATATATACATATATATTTTTTATTTTTATTATTACTATTATATTATTATTATAACCACTAATCAGCATTTTTTTACAAAGTTTCAAAAATCATTCCAATTTTTGTTGTTTTGTTTTTTTTCTTTAAAAAAAAAAAAATCATCATGTTATGAACTAAGTAATTGATCGATCTAATCCTAAAATCAATTTTAATAATTTTTGATCAAGAAAAAAAAACAATGTTATATAACAATTCGAGTTCATTCTTCAAAATTTTTAAATCTCAAATGCTTCTCATAAAAACGAATTAACTGTATGTAATAGCAAAGTGATTCTAATTAGTTTAATGATAAGCTTTCATGATAGAAGAAATATTATGGTTACCTTTTGTGGACACATTAAATTAGCGATAGAAGCTGGATGTCTTGTTCTATGACCATTTTTCCTTTTTTTTTTTTTTTTAAAAAAAAAAAAAAGATTTAACAAAAATTTTTGGTTCTCAAATCTCACATCATAAATTTACAAAATTAAATCTCAAAATACCAATTTAAATAGACCAGAATTTTATCATTATCTTCGGAATCTCTTTCTACAGTTTCAACATCATCAACAGCCTCTTCCCAATTAGTAAGGTCCGGTGGAGGATAATCTTCAAGTAAAGAAAAATCGGGTTCTTCAATAAATGAATCACTGAATTTACGTTTACGAAGTTTATCTTGATTATTTGTTATCATATTCAGTTTCTTTGAAATTTTATCAAAACTTTCTTCTTTTTTTGTTTTACTCGTTTCATTTTTCTTTTTCCAATATTCTTCAACAAGTTCTGTTGCAAAACTAATAAATTACAATAAAAATAAAATAAAATAAAAAAGCTTATAAAATGATTTCTCCAAAATTTCATGTATATTTAACGTACATGTCTGATTCATTTTCCCATGTGTTATCTTCTTCAGGAAACCCTTTCCACTTAAGATAATACTGCGTGATTCCCTTTAAATAAAAAAATTTTAACAAATTCTCATGAGAAATTTCGCGTAAACAACAATATATATTTATAAAGTCTAACTTTTTTAATTCGATGTTCTAAAATCTTTTCTACAATGTATTCATCA